ATTCCTTTTGGATTACTAATAGCTGATTTTGACAAACCCCGGTGTTGTTATTATAAAGGAAATGTTAGCATAATATTTACCTGATCTTTGGTGAACTGTAACCTGAAGCAAAACTAAACACTGCAATATATCCTGGCTGTCACAGGTGCCATGCACTGAATTAATATTGATTAGGGATGCATGTGTTAAGCTAGGTCTATGTCTGATGCACAGCAAGAAGATTGTTATTCATACACTGAGCTGGTCTGCCTGGAAGAAATCAAATACTGATATAACAGGGAAACATCAGCATAAATATGAGCAACATCAACACTCGATGGACCAAGAAACACATGTTAAATTAATCATAAACTAAAAATACTAATACTATTACTGATAATTTCAGGAAAAAACACATTGTTATCATGCTGTATTTATGTTCCCTCTTGATAAGGGAGTAGCTACTGCCACTCCCTGGGCAAATTTCTAAATTAAATAATATATCCAAGGACTCACTGGTACTAACAATCTATATACACAAAAAAAGACTGAGAAGTCAAACACTAAATGCATGATAAAGTGTTATCATAAGCCTTGGTGGAGATTAGTCTGAGGCTATCACAGATAATATTCTCAGCCAGTAAATTCCCCTCCTCTACTAAGCTTATCATTTCAGCCTTTTAGCAACGTGGTTCTGCCTTTTGTGTCTGCCTGCCATAAACCATGCCATGTGCATCAAATACAAAGATAGAGATTGTTGACAGCGAAGATGCCCCCTTTTGTGCCCTCCAGAAACACACACACACACACACACACACACACACAAAACAGTCACCTCAGATCCGCCCTCTTGTGTCCTCCACAAAACCACACACACACACACACACACACACACACACAAAACAGTCCTGTATACAACCCAGCCCCCAAATGTACCAGTTTTGTCACTGTATACTCTTCCACACATATCAGAGATCCTGAGGACAGAGGGACAAATTAAAGCTGTTAGTTGATCAGCCATGCTCTGGTAGGCTGTCATGTAAGTACTGATGAGTCAGATCTATATGCACATAAAGGGACTGGCGGGATGAAGGCATCCTGGAAAGTGAAACATGATCCATGAATAAATCAGTGCCCAGGGAAACATGCTGGAGCTTGTGATGACTTCTGCTGTATGAGGGGACGCTTTCCTGGGAAATATAACGTTGCCGTTACCAACAACACTCTCATCATCCCATTTCTATGCAAAACATATAAGTGAATGTGTATCTGTCCTTAGTTTCATGTGTGAGTTGTGAAAACCTCACCTGGTCGGGATCTTGACTCTGAGATAGCGGTCAATCGCAATAGCCAGGAGGGCCAGGATTGAACTTTGTGTCAGCACCAGCATTGTGCACGCCACGAGCAGGCAGCTGTAGAAGTGAGTTTGGAGTCCGATACTGATAGTAATGGCCAAGGGGATGACGAGGGCTCCCACCGCAATGTCCGCCAAAGCCAGGGAAACGATAAAACAAAAGGTAGTATCTCGCAACGATCTGTTTATTTTCACCGCCCAAACCACCATCACATTCCCGATGACAGACGCGACTGCAATAATCACTTCCATTCCTATGTAGACCGACTGCGTTGACAGAGCTGCTCCGAGCATCCTTGCAGATGATAAGCCTGATTTCAGTGAAGCAGCTCTAAGAGTAGCCAACAGAGCAGACCTAGCTTTTTGTCACTATGGGAGCTGTGCGTCCCATAGTACCCATACTGTCCCGGTTTTCACGACGGCCTTTAAGTTGCAAGAAAAATCCGGATATTTTTAGAGGAAGAAGCGTCTTTTTCAGGAAGATTTTTAAAGGTAATGGCTTTTCCTTTGAGGCAGGTATTGTGGTCCCCCCCCGCTGTTGTCACTCGCTCCTGCTCTGTGCCCTGCGCCTCCACATGTCAGAATACACCTGCTCTTTGTGAAAGCAGCATCCTTTGCGCTCCAATTTATCAAGGAGGGCCACTTATGATCGGGGTTTTAAACTAAACAAATAAACTGTCTTCGGAAGTAACGTGCACAAAAAGCAGCTCCCGGGCAGGCGTGTACTGCCTCTTTCACTTCTCACCTTTTTAATAATGGTGTTGCCGAAAATAGATGTTTTCTCACCTTTTTAATCTATTCATACGCCATCTTTATTTATGTTTAGCTTTAATTCTGTCTGTTTCCATTGTTGAGTGGCGTGCGTCCTTATTTTCCATAGGCTACAGAAATAAATCGGAACCTCTGTAGCTTTGTGCAGGACCGTCCCAGTCAGGTGGTGCAAAGGTGGTTTAAACTCCAACTGATTTGCAATGTAAACACCATGCATGCTTTTCTCTCACGCACTTTCAAAGGCAAACGGACCTTTCACAGTTTCTCCTTGTCCTCATAAGAGGTGTGTCGGTTCACTCCAAGTTCTCTGGCAGAAAATTCATACCCTACATGGCAGCGATCATATCATATATACAATTCCCTAAGTGATAAAGGACTGAATAATCAGGTGTACAATTATGAAGACACATCATACAAAGCCCACTCCTCTTGTTTTCCACCTTTTCCTTTAATTCAAGACATCTTAGGAAAGCATACATCTGCATTGACCTTAATAATCTAAATATATCCTTGTACTTTAGACTGAGCCAACCATATCCTCCAAACTAATGGGAAATCGAACAAAACTGGAAATCTTATAGTTGATTTAGATCTAACATTATTGATCAGCTTTTTAAAAAATCATTTGCAACTTTTTAAAGAGGTTTGTATGAAGGGCATTTCTTTTCTTCTGACTAAAATTTCTGGAGGAGGATTTGAGCGATACAATAACTGTTTGTTTCTGAAAGACACACATTAAGCCTCAAGCAGCCAAACATTGCAGACATCCAGTCCAGGAGTGATCTGTGCTGGTATCTCATGCTTCCTCACTGGGGTTCAAAGGCCAACAGCAGGGAGCTGCATGAGCTGTGATGATGGCAGGAACTCTATTTTCACATCCAGGCAGGAATGACTGCCCAGACTGGATGGAAGAGGCTTCCAGATGGTGCACTGCATTTATTCACAATAACTTCTGGGTAGAAGTCTTGGGTTTCAGCTGCCAGCTGGCAGGTGATTCAAAGTAAACAAAAACAAAAGGCAGAACAGAGTAATACTGCAGTCAGTGTTCACACCAAGAGACAGTGTGTGATAGCAGGATGGCCAAGAGTCTGCAGGAGCTCAACTGAAGACTGTTTCCATCTGTGACCAGCATAACTGTCACCGTGAGGTATAGAGGTCAGCCAAAGAGGCAGCCATATGGTCTTGTTGCAGTGATTGGCATCCAACCCACTTGTAACATTGTGAGTATAAAAATGGTGGTATTGCAGAAGAAACTGATCATTATAGAGCAGATGGTGTGCGCTAACACTTAGGCCAATGTGGCCGACAATCGAGAGATCTTGAATGTTTTCACTTTAAAATAAGCCTCACCATCAAGGTTGCATTCCTTGCACTTTTCCAGTTAGGTATTCATGAGCTCAGCTGCCACTGTTGCAGTTATGTGACATCTCAGCTGGGATGCAGAAAGAGGATTAGTCCATTCCAGGCTGCTGTTTTTTCACTGTGTTTCTCCTTTTAGCAGCTTAGAGACTCAGAGCAGGGAATAAAGGCATGCTCAACGTGGACCTCATAATGCCATTTGCACTAGATCACAGTTCATGTTTTTACTGAGGACATTAAAGCAACCTGATAATGTGTAAGATGTAAAACATTCCTAACACAGACTGACATTTCTCGCTCTCAGTGACAGGGATGAACTTCAACAGCCCTGAAGTACTTCTGTGACAAATAAGTCAATGCCCAAAAAGTTTAGAAATAAGGAAATGCTTCACTAAATGTCTGCCACATTCTGCCATTTGGGGATGTATGCCTAGTGAAATCCGGTGTGCTTCAGGTTTTTATTTTCTAATTCTGATTAAATAGAAAATGATAAAATACCATTGCCACCATGTTAGAGAAATTGAATCAAATGAGGACGAGGCTGTAGACTGTAGTTTATTCTTATAAGGGAGCAATTGTACACACAAGCATTTGGTTATGTGAAGAATACTCAGCAGGGCCGTCCCGTCTGAATTCATTTATAGGCAGTTTCACCCTAACCCCAGCAACAACTGAAACTTCCTCCAACTACAGTTACAGGTTGATTCAACTCACCATGCTGTCATTTCTCTTCATGAAGTTGATCATGTGTTTTCAGTGTCTGAGGCTGTATCTTATCTGGTTAGCCCTGATAACTATTTATACACACAGGCTTCTTAAGAACTGTGTGGGCGTAGATGTGCTGTGATATACAGTGGTGTGCCAACTCAACCTGCAACAAGTCTAGAAATGGGGTGCATCTCATGAAAGTTAACTTTGCAAGCAATAAATGTAAAACAAATAATGTATATTCTCTGGTCTTATTATTTTTCTAACACACCCACACAAACAAGGGCTCAGTATAGCAATATTTGACATATGGACACAACAGGGGGGGGGGGGGCATTTTACAATAACAATACAAGAAATCCTAGACACCTCTTTAGCTTGCGGCCATCACTGTCACGCATACAGTGCAACTGGGGGCATTTGTATGTGTCACTGCATCATAATAAGTTAAGATCCATGAACTCCATCAATAAAAACATGATCGTCCTCTCATTTCTTGAAATAGCTCTCTACCATGTTGAAAAATTTACCCATCTCAGTGAACAATTGTGTCACTGGAGGTGCAGAGGTGCACTTCCATTTTGTGACAGTAAGCTTCTGTCGTAACATAAGGGTAGTCTAGACTCAACCTGTCTGAGCGGCTGATAAATTATCCAAAGCTGCAGGGCTGACCAGTGTAAATAAGCTGGAATGAAAGGGTTATTCTGATCTGTAATTCTTTGGATGTGATTGTGGATATTTGACTGGAACACTCACAAGGGCCGCTCCACTGCATACACACCACCGGCACCACCGGCATCCAGCAACCTCAGCCAAACCCATTCTGTGGAGTCTGGGTGGGGTCCAGTAGATCATATTTATCATCTTGAATTGGTTAAGTCTCATTTTCAGTTCTCTTGAAACTGTTTTGACATTTGTCAATAATCTTTTCCAATTATTCTCTTTGAAATCTTTGTAGTCCGTGTTCCATGTGAAGTCTGATATGTCAGTCTATCTTTCACAACAATATATTGTAGTATTTAGAAGCCTTGTGCCTTTTTGCCAAATTTAAGATGTGTTGAAAAGTGTCCACCATAGGAGAGGTTGTATAGGGCGAGACATACAGTAGGTCTGTGTCAACAAAAACCCAGAGTTTTTAATGGGTAAAAAGGAAGCTTCATTTGTGAGGTTAACTGCTTTTAACAAAACCTCTTTATTAAGTCTGGATCATCCTGATAAATGACTGAAACATCCACTAATGGACACAGTGTGATGCCCTCGCATCTCATAAAGCACCAGCATCAGCCTTTTTGTTCTGGCATAGCACAGTTTATATAATGGTTTCAACCACCTGGATGAAGAACCGTGCCCCAAGCCACAGCCATAGTGTAATGAGAAAAGATAACATAGCGTCTTCCTTCCCTTTGTCTTGTCTGCTGAACTGGGTTCAAAAACAACATTGCTCAGTCATTAAAAAATAGCTCCAGCAATGAACTGCAGTGGTGTTCTCAGTGGACCACTGAGCCAGACGGCAACAGATCTGGGACCTTGTCCTGTTAGCCAGGATGCTGTCCAGGAAAACTGTTTAGCAATTTTAAACTAGACTGAGGGCAGCAAGGATTACAATTGCTGTGTTATTATAAAGGGGAAAACAATACAAGCATTTGCTTGTGGTTCCATCAATAAAAGACCTTCAATGAAAATCTCAAAAGGCATATTAAGAGTGCTCAATTATCCTCTGGAAAATCAAACAAGCACCTGGACAGCCTTTAAACTCTCACAGCTGTCATTTACATGGAAGTTATCCAGAAAGTGGTAATATAAATTTTCATAAAACATACTGTTGTTAGAGGTCACAGTAAGCAGCAGTACACACCAGAGAGTGAGAACATCTGCTGAATATTTTTTGCCTCAAGAATAATAGATTTCACAGCAGTGAACAGGTGATGTGACAGACAAATTTACTGCTCTTGCATTTGCCATGAGCACGTTTATCCATGTGAACCACACCTGGAGTTACAGTTCACGAAAATACAGTTAAGCTGTTTGAAGTCCTGACCCACAAGTGTCATTATGGCTCATCTGGAGTACATAATCCTATACAGTGAATGGAAATTACTTGTGTTTTGATTTCCACTTTACACTTCTCTGTTTACCTAGCGGCTCTGGTGTGAGAGCCCCTCTCAGAGCTGCAGGCCGGCTGCCCCACATTGTCTCGCCTGCTCCTGATCCACAGTGTCCCTGGGAAATTAACCACTGCACCCACTTGAAGCTTGAGCTGACAGGTTGAAAATGAAAAATGTCAACAGCTAGCAGATCTCTGTCTAGCACTGTACTAAAAGCCCTGCCACAGTCAGAACTGAGATATTTTGATGAGTAAGTCTCTCCATTTGGATTGCTGCTTAAAATATGCCTGTCAAATTACCTCATTTTTTAGATTATGTCGCATTTATTCATTAACCTGATCATTTATGGTGCTGCCGCAAGACCTTCTCCACCCTGCCAGGACTGACAAGAGAAGACTAGCCTCACTTATTTTATGAACAGTTTGTTTGGTTTTTGACTGAAACATACATTTAAAATATTTTGAGTTGATAAAGTCAGAACTCACACTGGGGAAACTGTGTATATCTGTGTATTGTAAAATCCTCCCCAGGTCATTAAAGGTAGGTTGGTTTTAGATTTTTTGTTTTTGTTTTTAATGGTTTCATTTACAGTTGAAACATAGCAGGGGATTCCCCAGTGTATTTTTGCCTCTGTATAGGCGATGTGTTTGTATGTGTAGAGGTGAAGAGGTCAACGCCAACAGAAAAGTTCAACCCAAACCACAGGCTCCCTAAAGCAGCCTCCTCGACATCCAACACCAGCCTCAAATTAGATTACTGTGCAGAAAATACTAAGCCTCTCATATGTTC